CCCTTCATTTGAAAACAGTCAATTATCCTCTGTTACAGAGTAAAATAATGAGCTTCTCCCAGTTAGCGGAGTCCCAGAGTTACAGCTGTAATTAGTCCAAAAGATGGCAGCGCAAAGGCTCAGTGGACACCGACAACACAACTGTTTTATTAGCCCAACAGCAAATATCCCAACAACCCACGCAGCTCACAGCACATTTGCTGTTTACATACAGCGTAAGCGACTCAAAGTGAGCCTGTTTCTGTGCAGCCTTGTGTTGACGTGTGTTTTGTGTGAATAGGGAACATAAATAAAGGAAGGGCAGCATGTAAAAAGTGAGAGAAGCAAGAGAAGGGAAAGGGTTTGGTGGGCTGTGTGGAAATCAATGAGCTCTGTTGTGCCACTGACATATCTGCTATGTGCTAAAGAAGCTGCCTGAGTGCTTTTCTACAAGCACAGTCTCACGTTCATGTGCCTGCTGTAGCATCTTCCATTAAGTTAGTGGCGTTACATATATTTATCACAGGAATATATATCACACTGCAAATTAATGCACTTAGTGTAGAGTGAATTTCTAATATGGCTGTGAATCAAACTAACCACTGAGGCCAGTGTTTTTCCTTGAAAGATGGGTCTGATTGACGCCAATTCTGATAAGGTGGATTTGCCTCGTGCACTTTTTCTCAAGCTTAAGGGAATACACTTAACATTGAGCTCTGTCACAGTCAATACCAGCCTAGTGGACCTTTAAGTTCCTGTGCTGAATGCTGAATATTTCTAATCAGTCCCCTTGCAGAATGAATGCCATGATTAAAACATGCATTTGGAATTCACTACCATATTCTGATTATCTACAGCACATAACCACTTCTCTGAATATTGAAGTTTGTTTTCATTCTCCCAGCTGGATTTCCCGATAAGAAAATCTTGATTATATTGTGTACCTTATCTATCAGGTACCACTTGAGACCCAGTTTATCTGGCACAAAGAACATTTCAGGCACATTTATCAATAAGTGGAGTGCATTTTATTCTCACCAGATTAATGAGACAGACAAAGAAAGCTCTCCCCCATTTCAAATCAGTTTGTAACATTATGGGGTTGCCCTAAACACTTGTGTGCACACACACACACACAATTATGTGAAATAACAACGAGGTCACAGCCCAGTGAAAGCTTGTTACATTTCTCTTTTTGGCACCACTGATGTGAAGCCGCTCTCATCCAGCCAAAAGGGACTGAACTACTGTGGTTGCAGCTGGCTAGAGACCAAGGCAGAAGGGACCTGGTCAGGACACAGCAGAACATTCAGGCACACTGTGACATTTCTGTCAGTCAACTTGAAGTCTAACAACCACTCTGGCTGAATCCTTCATGTGAGTGTGGCAAAATAATGTGAGTACGATGTGGAAGCATAGACTCTAAAATATGTATCTATTCAATATAAAAGGATGTAGACTAATTCTAACCTGAACCCCGGAAAGAAATGCCAATGCAGAAGTGTGTGAAACCTGTATTCTCTTGAAAGCCGAAGAGAGGGCGACTTCACTATAGTTGCAAAAGAGGTTTTTATACACGTTGATTAGATTCCAAATTTAATTTGAAACACTGAAGTGAGTGGGCTGAAGAAACTGTAAAAAATAAACTTTAATGCTTCACACAGCTTCTGGACTGACAGGAAACTTTTGATAAGCAACATGTAGACTCCCACATCCGTCTGTGCACACTCTTAAGAGTTCAAAGTTGTTCACATTACAAAACTTGAGAAACTTGATATTTGCATCCGATGAGCCTAATTTAGTAAGTTCTTAAGTAAAGTCCTTTTAAAAGCTGTCACAGAATTCCAGTTCTTCTTGCCGTTGTACGAGGGGATTCCAATCAAGAACAGACAAAGAGGACTATCGCTCCATGCTAAATTATAATTACCATCACAGTGTTCGCTCTGCCTGTTGTAGATTCACAGATTTATTCCTGCAGAGTTGTCAGGGCTGTCCCTCTGTGGAAGCCACAGTTGTATTTGGGCTTTTGTTCTGTCTTTTCATGCCTTGTATTCACCATCTTCAGAAGCCTGCATTCATCAGTGGAAGGTTTCTGACTGAACTCCCTGTTCAGATCATGAATTCTGAATGATTATAGAATGTAAAATTAAAAACATGTACACTGTGAAATGTGCAGTTCACTTATGGAATGCTCAGATCTTGAAAAGAAAAAGGGAATAGTAAGCTTTTATGTTTGATTTATTGTATATACTGACATACGAGGGCTACTTTCTCTGGAGTCTCGCAATATACTAAAAGAATTCATTCAAATGTATAATTATTTTGTTGTTTAAGATTATCTAATAATGGCTACTGACTTTAGAGTTAACAACTATTCAAAGCATTTATCAGTTGATTGTCAAAGTCACTAATCTGCAACAACTAATTCAAATCATCAATTAATTATTTCACAAATACAAAAGATATGGAGGTAATAACTTCTATAATATGACGATATTATGTTTTTATGTAATTGGAACCTTTCAAATTTAGCTCTGAAGCCTCACTTCCCTTATATTGATAAGCAATTTTGTCTTTGGGTTATTTTTGACTGGATTTCTGCTAAGTTTTACCTCCAGGCTGCATGAAGGTGTAGACATAATGGAGATTGGCATGAAACAGCTACAACATATGAGATAGCAACGTCTAGCAGTGAGGAGTGTAAAGAGAAGGATGCCTCTAATGCAGACTTGGAGCAGAGGGTGACTAATGACCCACAGAGCTCTGTTATTATCACTGGCACACTCACACACACGCAGAAACACATACGTACCATATAATTTATTCTGGTCGTGACTTTGGAGAGGCGTGCCTCAGCTGCACCCATGAGCAGCTACACCAACATTTCTATCTCCATCTCAATTTCCCAGGACCCATAGACCTCAGGTGTAAACAAGGACATCAGCACTCCAGGAAATAGGTTTGTCCCACAGAAAAGCCACCAAGGTGCAGCGCAAATTAGCTTTCTGCCCCGCCGCAATCAATGCGAAAGTGGCTGTCATTAATTTGTCGGGTCAGATCCTTCAACACAACTAAATCTTGCATCATCCAGAGGCCATTTCCGTGAACACTGTTTTCAAGATGAGGTTTCTGTGAGGTCAGACGCTGATTGTCTTATTTTTCTTACACTGTCACAAAGTCAGCATTAACTAACGACCTTGCACTACAGTGCCGTGTTGGTCACAGCTTTCCTTCTGAAACTGTTAATGATGTGTCTGGTTATTCAAAGTTTATCAGGTTTATTGATATTGAACCTATTGCCTGTCCAAACCGCACCAAATCCGACACTGCACTTCCATGGACCCTTATCACTACGCATGGCAAGTGTGAAGCTAATAAGATGAACGTTCCTGAGTGGTTACCCAGATACAGACAGAGATTTCTGGAATTATACAATAGAAGATCTATAGTTTAATCCACATATGTATATCTGCTTGTATTTTTCCAACTTGATCACATAAGCTATTTGATCCATGTCCATGTTTTTAAATCACTGTAGAAATTATTATGTTGACATTTTTCCCTTTCATTGGCTACATTTGTATTATTCAAAGTCTTTAAGGAAATGTGTCTCCTCACAAAAGCAGCATTTAAGCATCCAGAAGCATTTTTAATTGCAAGCAACATGAACTCGAAGGGAAATACTAAAATTTCTGCTTAAAACCAAGTAAATTAGGACGGATGTTCATTCTGGTTATATCTAAACGATCACAGATTTTAAAATCAAGTCTTAATTACAAATATTTGACGAATAAAGTCAAATTGGCCGACAATAGGCTGGCAGCTTTACTGTATATCAGCTCTGCCAGACTGGGCCTCCAAGCTCCAGCCTCCAGTCTGGTCGTCTCGCAGACAGCCAGTCGGCAAAATGAGCAGAATGAGCCTGCAGCCCCAGGAGAACCTGCCATCCTGCTGCGTCTGCGCTTCTCCCCCTTCACACACATCCATCCTGCCCAGCCGGGCCTGTCAAACCCTGCGTCTCCTCCCTTCACCTCCCTCTGTCATTCTCCCTCCTCCTTTTTCCCCCTCCTCTCTTCCTCCGCTCCACTGGGCTTGTGAAGGTGAGCCAGTCCCCAGTGGCACAGCTGTACAGATTGCAGTGCTTCCTCTTCAAATGGAGGCTCCTCTCTCTTGTGAATACCCATGTAGAGAGCGATGGTGCGGCTCCTCCTCGTCCTCTTCCTTGACCTTCTGTTTGGTTATTTTTGTCTTTTTACCGCACACCTATCTCTGGACATCTGTATTATTTATTTTCTGTCTTGCTCTCAGGTCATCTGTCCTTAAACCATGACTTGGGGAAGGGCTCAGGCTGCTCAATGTGTCACGTATGAGCAGGGCTGAGAAAACGAAAGCCAGATGGTTTAAGGCCAGTTTGATGACAGCTGTGACCCAATCACTTGTCCTTAAAAGCTCTTTCATGAGAAGGATTTGGAAGGAAACGACAGCATCACAAAGAATGCTTCAAGATAGCTCTGAAGTGGCTCTACCTCTAATAGATGCATCTAATCATTTAACTCAGGTTGTGTCCATTTGCAGCCTTGAAATGGAGGTCTCGCTCTTGATGCACCTCTTTGTGTGTCTTCCATTTTCCTCAGTCTGTGGAGTCTCTCCACGCACTCCCAGGTTTGCTTCTAGAATAGAAAGGTTCATCTCTTTTAAACAAAGATAAAATGGCCATTTTGTCATACAACTCTCATGATGCCTTTACAGCGCTTCTGTGGATTCACGGTTATGGTTGCTACTAAAATAAAGGTGATAAAGTGAAGAGATGCTCACATTTCAACGAGTCGGTAGATTAATGGACAGTCGTTTAGAATATAGACAGAAACACCATGCTTCGATGTCCAAATGTCTTTTCAGCTCTTTTCGACGTTAACACATTTTCTCATGTGCACATGAACACCTTGTTGAGCAGTGGAGTGTTATGAGGCTATTCTGTTGTTGCAGGTGAACTCATTCCTTTTCCCTTTGTGTTTGTGCAGGTTTTTGGAGATTATTATCACTTCAGGCATCACGCTGTGGAGAAGAGGGCTTTGTCCGGACACAGGGGGATGCACATCAGACTGCAGAAAGAACCACAGGTAAGAATGGTGTCAGCTCACACACAGCTCATTGCAGCAACAAAAGACAGATTGGATTACACACAATGAGGGTGTATATCACAAGAGAGAAGAATGCCAACATCAATGACAGCTTGTCTACTCTGAGTCTTTTTGCAGTCCACACCGGCCCCTCCATCTGTCCCTCTGACCAAATCCAAGGTACTGTTGAGCTGTAAATATGCTAAATAAACCCCCCCCATCAATACAACACAACAGCTGGGAGAGTCACTGTGCTTGGCCTTGCTTTTTCTTTAGCCTTGTAAAACCATTGTTTGCACGTAAATGTTAACTAGAGGGGAATATTGGAATTAATTCTTCCAACAACCAAAAACAGGAACCTTTTCCAACCTGGATGTCACTTTCATTTGGACATCTGGTCCTGGATTCACACTCTACCCATCCAGCAATTTATACCTGGCATACTCTGCAAATCTGTGTATTATAGAAGTTCAGTCTGCATAGAACACATAGCTGCTGTCAGACAGGCACTGAAGCTTTAAAAGAGTCAGTTGCTACCGACATTTCTGTAAACATTTCCTGCTAACCCCCTAGTGAAATGTCAGAGCCCATGTGTTCACTTGATGATGTGTCTAATACCTGACAGACACAGAATTGGAACAATTCAAATGTCTCAGTATGGGAAAGCCATTCACATAGAAGATGCTGATGAAGATGTCAACTTGGAAAGACAACCAGATTTGAGTTTTTTTGGCTATAGAGCCATCTCTTGTAGAGGTCATGAAATTCAGAATTACATTTTTGTATAGGCTATATGGGCTGTGTTTGAATTGCCTCCAACAAATGATGTGTAAGTTAAAATTCTTTTCAACCCCCTGTTTAATTTACTCTTTAAGTGACAGCCCTATTGTTGAGATCAGACGTCTGCACAAGCATTTCTGAAAACAGCTCAAGTTTGCACCATTCACAGGAGAAAGGTTTGACATTATTAACAAATTGTTTCAAATTTGAAAAACTTGCATTTTTGCTCAATGAAAGTGAAAATAACAGTGAAAGCTTTAAGAGGTAATGGAGAAGAGCAGAAAGCACTTACTCATGAATAACAAGAACCCTTTTCTGTATTAAGACAGGTCCTTTGTTTTCCTTGCACATAAAACTCAAGCACAGATGAGGAACACATTTGTTGGATAATTCTAGTTAATCTTTGCACTGATTATTACATTTTATGTTATATGCATTATCCTTGAATTGTTTTGCAGCCTTTAGATCTCAGCATGTCAAGCTGAGCCACCTCTAAAACAGGAAAAAGACAACATGCTAGATTTCATCTGTGAAAAAAGAATGGTAACAAGAATGGTAATTAAATGTGAAATTTAGAGATTATTACTGCCCTCTGTTGTGAAGGCATCATGAGATTTTCTAATACAATGGGCTTATATATGATAATTGTTATTTTTCTCACTAATCAGAAGCTCACACTATGTGGGTCGTATTATTTAATAATCAATGCACAGTGGTGATTTTGCAGGAAACTAAGCAAACACATTTTCCAAATGAACTTGCAGCTTCAGTTCTGTGTGGGGTTGCTACAAATAAAAATGCATTGTTAAAACTGAGAATGTCATGACCTTTTACAAGCTGTGTTAATGGACTTTGTTGCATTTATTCACACCTGAGCCGAGGGAGGAAATATTACTCAGAGGAGTGGGCAAAAATGCCATGAAGGTCCTGCTTACAAAAATAGAGATATTCCACAAAGCTCACAGTGAATGGTTTTCTTTTGTTATCGGAAAAACAATTTTGGAAAATAGTTCTGTTGACAGTGACAAGTGTGGAACAATGATTCTCTTACACTCTTCACCTACATTGAATTCAATGTTTCTCTTACACTCTTCACCTACATTGGATTCAATGGTGAAAACTGTGGAATTGAAATCTGTTTTGAGTGTGTTTTGCTCCTAACACTCATGTAACATCACATCTCAGTTTTTTATAGTCTTTTAGCCCGACCACTACAGATTTTGGGGTAATAAAAATTCTGATACTCATACTGATATAGATCTTTTTTTTAAATTGCTGTTTACTCATCATCCTAATGACAAACAATCTGCCCACTGATAAATCCAGTCTTTTTTTCACCCTCAAGATTTTTCCCATCAATGTCATCTATGCAACCATGCATGTACATTTGTGCAGTAACCTCTCTTTCAGTGCTGGCAACAACCTGCTGCCAAATTTACACTGGAAACACTGGAGGCAGTGAGTGGTAATTGCTGCTATTTAAAAGCAACTTGAGAGGCACCTGAACGGTGCAGAAAAGGGGGAAGTTAGGACGTGAGAACAGAACTGCTCCAGGGCCATTTGTATCAAGGTGGACCCGCCAAGTAGTGCCTGAGGACTACTGTCCAGCTTCTCCTGGGTCCAAGTCAAGATGGCTGAGAAGAGGACTGATGTTGCCTGACAGGCGCTGTGGCCCCAAAACATCATTAGTGAAATATGGTGACTTTCACCAAGACCAGTGGTGTCAGGGGTCAAGCTAGATGGATGTTAACTGTAGGAGGCTGATTATGGAGCCATCCAGTTACTACACAGAGTTGTCTGCCTTGTAGCTGGGTGGCTTCAAAATCAACAACAAATTGGATTTATTCTGGGCAGTGATATAGGTAAGGGTTTGTCTGTTTTACTGAAAAGGATTTTAATGATGCACAACACTGGATTTTATAGTTCTCTGAAATGATGAGGCATAACATGCACTGTTGAAACAGCAGAACATTTGATGTGTTGCTGAAATGGAACAGAATTCATCAGGAAGAGAAGAACTGAAGTTTACTGTGTTCTTATGGTGTATTCTATTTGTAAATACCAAATAAGGGTAAAAGCATCTTGGATTTCAAACCGTAGCCCTAACAACGGAGACATAAAGCCTCATCCAATTTTAAGAGATTTCACAGAGCGATTTCAGCTCACAGGCTCTTCTTAGTCGGGAGGTCGGCAGTTCAAGTCAGCACAGTGCTTGAACCTCTAACAATTCAGGGCTCCAGGTTTCTGGCAAAGGAAAACAGTTTGTCCCTAGGTTACCTATCAGCCCACACAACCAACAAACAGACGAAACCTGAGGCAAAGCACGGCCGCCGCCAAAAAAACACCACAGCATGAGTGAGACGGGTTGTGTCTGTGAGTCCATGTGATCCCAGAACAAGGTGGAAAGAAAAGGTTCGGCTTCAACTGCTAAACAGGGAACCGATTAAAGAAGGCAATGAAGACATAATGGCTGGATTTGGATTAGACGGTGCTAAGCTTTGAGCTCGTTGCAGTATTTCCCCTCTGTTATCCAGCTGCTGTCGCTGACATTACCTCCATTGTCTCTTTTCCTCTGCTCCGTGGTGCTAACACGCTGCTTATCACCTACCCCCTTTGAATAATCACACAGTGGCAAGATGACATTTGCCGCTGCATAAGCTTTTACCATTATGCTTGTGAGGGGTGTTTGTCATCCCCTTTCCACACCCCACACCTTCTCTGTGAGGAAAGGAATCGATTTGTTTTGGGATGGCTGGTTTTGTACAAACCGTAGTGTAAGTCAGCTTACTGCATGCTGTGTTTCAGGGGGCCTTTACCCTACGTCTCCTCTCTCGCCTCCTCTCCATCTTTAAGGTGCTATATAAGGTCATACTGTTTAAGATAGAGGCTGCCAGTATTCAATATTCGTTTTACTGTTGACATGTCATGAAGAAATCCTGGATCCTCCCCAATACTTAATGGGTTCTTCTTCTACACCAAAATTAGTAGGTTTACTCAGGTTTTTTAAACCCTCTTAAAAGGAAATTGACTATTTTCCCATTTTCAGTGGAGGAGTTTGCCTTTCTGTTTTTTCTCCCCCGGTGAGTCATGTTCAACGTCACGCACCTACTGGAAATTGAGAAGCTCTCTCACCTCGCAGTCTTGCCAGTGTTACATCTTTTACAATATGAAGACATAATCACTGTTGCATATGCATTCATAGTTATTTATAAACCCAAGCCCAGATGTTAAACTTATGTTACAACATTGCGCCAGACAAGGTGCAGTATCAGTGTGTGAAGAAATGAGTGCGTTCACCGCGATGTCATGTGTTCATCACTGCACATCTAAGCTGGAGCCAATAAAAATCTGTGTCTTCTGCAGAGTCATTCGTCCCAGGAGTGAATCCCATTGCAGAAAAGAGCCAGACGTTAGTGGATGTGAGTGTTTTTTTTAACCAGTGGAAAAGGGATCATGGTTTCATGGAAATTCACTCAGTAGGTTTGTGTAATCCTGCTGAAACAAACAAACAGACTGGGGTGGAAACCTTCATGGCAAAGGTCATCAATATTTAAGTGTCCCTTGAATGGGTCCTGACTCCTATGTTAGGAGCCATTGATTAACATTTCCCGAAGCTGTGCATGTGGGATCAACACAAGTTGATCTGCAGTGCTTTTTTTCATCATAATGTATGACTCACTGGCGGATTAATGGTGTTGGAACAACAATGGAGCTCTGTAGAATATATATCTAGCTTTTTATACACACTCAAAGTATTTGAACAGTCACTTCATGCAATCTGTTGATAATAACAAAAATAGACTTATCTTTTAACACATCTTCTCTCTCTATAAACAGATTTATAGATGAAAGCACAGTCTACAGTGTCTCTGTTACAGACAATACCAGTGTGGCTTCTTCAGCTTAGTCATCAGACAGGAAAGCCCTCAGGACATCACAAGAGAGATAGAACAAATAGTTTATTGCTGCAGTGGATTACAGATGTGTAGCTCATGTGGAGACCTCCCTGTTGTCTCATGATTGGTTCTTTGTCGGGTTTTGTTTGCCTCTTACTCTTCATCCTTGTCCCAGACCTCGCGTGGTTCTCAGTTCTTTGTGTTGTATTTACTCCTCCATCACTCACTTGGTTTACAGGAGGATATGGAGTAGATCTTGTTTTCTTCAGTCATTAACAGTTGGTAATCTGCCTGAAATATGCCACAATGAAAACCATTGCCCTAAATGAAATAGATTTTAAGTCAGTTTTCTCAGGATGATGACTGAGCCGTGAGTTGAATTTGCTAATGTTTTATCATTTGCATTAATTGACTATATAAATGAAACACTAAATATTCAACGATATCTGTCCGCAGACGGATCGTAACCTGGTTCATGTATCAGCCGTAATTTTGTTCTGATAATGTGATGTGCAGTCGTGCAGGGAGGTCGGTCACGAATCGGTTCTGAATGTAATGAAATGAGATAAATGTTAATTAGTCTAGGGTGACTTGAATAGGGTTAATGGTTTCACTCTCCCAGGCTTAGTTTTAGACTACAGGTTTGGAGGAAAACCACAATCTGTAGCTGTTTGGGGCATTTTTTTTCATTTTCATTCAGGTCGTGCACATTACAAGAGCATGTAATCATATAATCAAGCAAGTAAGAGAAGCCTCATTACCAGGATCCTCTCTGACTGTAACGAGCCAAAAGAAAAAAAGAAACTACAGAAAGAACTGGAATATGATACAATAACAAGTTGTGCTTTGAAGATGTGCCGGGTGTTGTAAAGGAAACGAGTTTAGACACGCTTCACTCGAGTGATACAAAAGTGGTTCCAGTTTAAACATTGTCATCCTCAGCAAAACATCAGCAAAGGACGCATTTATCACTGACAATAATAAGTCGCAGCAGCATTTTCTTAAGCTGCTATGGAAGATAAATGTGAGTGCGATGCAAAACCCAGATGCCATATTCATATATAACATATTTTTAAAAAAGGGAGAAAAATATATAGTTATCTTTTGTTTAGTTAGTATCTTTTGTTTAATTAATATTATATCAAAGCATGAGACCATATATAATGTTTTTTGTAACAAACTACGTATTTAATTACACAAACTATATTAGCATTTGCTGTCGCCCACCCCCTACCAAGACGGTGCATATCCCAGCATGCTCCAGGACTTCAAAGCCCCCTACTATGCTTCTCAGGATTGAAATAAATTGGATTTGCTTTACATGTTTGCATCTGTCTCTCTAAGTCATTACTTGTTGAACGCAGCTGAGGACATATTGTTCCACATCTGCAAGCTGTGAGACATTCCAACAATTTCAAATCATAGCCCTGGAAATGGCACGATAGCATGTGACACTGTGTAAACTGAATTTATTTAGTGTGTGTTCGTGTGTGTGTGTTTGCAGGTCCTGTGGATGGAGCAGCAAGTGGTGAGAAAAAGGAAAAGGAGGGATGTGTATGAAGATCCCACAGACCCTGATTTCCCCAAGCAGTGGTACCTGGTGGGTGACGATGTCTGATCTTTACAGCCTAGACCTCGTTATTCGGACTGTATGGTTGTATGCTGAAAATGAGGGTATGAGGGTATTTTTCAATACTAGGTTCTTTAAAACAGAGGTGTGGAACCTTTTTTTTATCGAGGGCCATTTAATTTGTCAAGGTGTCTGACGTCAGATGGTAATGATGATGTTGATGACATTCACATGTCACATGTTTTATTCTTAATATCTTCATGGCCATTGGTCATAGAGAAATAAAGTATTGGCAAAAAAATAAAGTTTGGCAAGGAATTATAATTTAAGATATTACTTCCCAAAAATGACCCAAAAAAAATAAAGAACCAAAAGCATAAAAACATTTTAATGAAATCAAAATATCCTCCGGGCCTTAGTGATTGGACCCAAACATTATATCGAAAAACAAACTTTGAGCAAAAAGCTGTTGCCACTTTCCTGGATTCTCTCAGTTTAGAGATAAAACGACCTACATGGTCAGATAAGTATAAATTGAATTGCTGTTTCTTGAACAAACCCTGTCAGCCGTAGTTTAATCAGTGTCCCCAACAACACAAGGTTTTCTAAGTCAAATGATAAGTATAATGCCAGGCAACTTTGGATTGCTTGGTTGAATGTTAAATGAAATGTCAGGACACATCCACTACTAAACTGTATCACCTGTGAAACATTGATAGAAAATGTCCCTGGCTCTGTCTGTGTCGTTATTTGCAGCTTTTCTCAGAGATGCTTCAATTTGCCCTAATCTTCCCTCTATTTCCTTTTTCCTATGCACAAATCCTCTGTCACTGCAACGGATTAATGACAACTTTGACTATCCCAGACATAAATCACCAGTGAATGGATGTTGTGAAACCACATGTGTCATTCAGCATTAGAGCTCTTATCGCCCGAGCACTTTTTTTTCATATTTTGCAGTATTCTACATTAGCTGAGGGCATATGTCACCAGTGGCTTTTCTCTTGGTAGCACAATAAAAATAAGGTATTTCAAATCCTTTTCATGGGTCTGTAGCAAAGTTGTCTATTGGTGCAGAACAGGTCGTCTGCGATGTCTTTTCATCGCTCAATCTATCCATCACGTACTCTTCACACCTTTCACAGTAGGAATTTTCTGTTCATCCAAATCACAATTTACTACCAGCATCTCTGTATCCAATCCCTGATTTGCTTCTTCTCTTGCAAGTGAGGCAAATGCTCCCACCAAGATGTCTGACCTGACACAGGTTCTGACTGTGTATTGACAGTTTAACTACAGTAGGATGCTCACAATGGGCAGCTCAGCCCGAGGAGGTAGATACGCAGCAATGAGGCAATAACATTGGATTTTACGTGTTCATGAAACACTTCTTATCTTCCTTTTTTTTTTTATTTCTGTTTTGAGTATTTTATTTTTAGCACATTTTTGCCATGAGTGAAACATCTTTGCAGATGATTCAACTGTCTGACTATTTTCTGTTGGACTTCTGGGAAGTATCCATCACAGCAGATTGACAGCTGAACCGCAGATCTGTGTCTGTTCCAGACCACCCCAACGCATCAAGACCTGAATACCAAAGTCGCCTGGGCTCAAGGCTACACAGGAAGAGGTGTTGTGGTGACTATCCTGGACGACGGCATTGAGAAAGACCATCCTGATCTCATCAATAATTATGTGAGTCAAAAACACACTGTAGAAGAACATATAAATAAATAAATAAATAGATTACCGACAGCATGAAGAGATGGTTAAGTGTTAGAATTGGAGTCCTAATTAGTTCATTATTAACAGACTACGCACCACACTGACAGCACACTCTGTGGAAATGTTGCTATTTCTGAATAGAAATCAGTAGAAAAGCTGTCTGTTAAAAGGACTGAGTAGGCCTGGCTTGTTAATGAGGATTCATTATTGTGATTGCCCGCTGAGTGTTTGTGCATCGGAGTGACCGCGTGCCTGTCGCAGCCGCGGGAACATGTACAGCTAAAGGAAGTTATGTTGATGTCTGCCCATCTAAGACTCTGAAAACTTGGATTTATTGATGTTTCAACGGGCCTCCTCTCAACTGGATTCCTCTTGACTCCTGCTGCAGACATGTGTATGAGAGAGAGAGAGAGAGAGAGAGAGAGAGAGAGTGTGTGCGTGTGCAGCAGCACAGCAGTTGTATGACAACGAGTGAAATTCATTTTCTACTGTTTGTGCAGCTGTTTGCACATGCATGTAAAAAATGTACCTCTTGTTGCATTGGTATTTCTTAATGCGTCAGACTCTCGTCCATTAAATAGCATTTGAATCTATTCGGTTAATGGTGGTTGGTTTAAATGGTTCAACAATTTCACAATGTACATCGCTAACCCTTCTCCTGTGTCTCTTAGGACCCTGAGGCCAGCTATGATGTCAATGACGGAGACGCTGATCCCCAACCAAGATACACGCAGCGAAATGAGAACAGGTAATTCAAGTCAAAGCCACGATCCTGAATTGGGCTTTACTGATTCAAAACAGGCTTTCAGACTTTATGGAAATTTGGAAAACTGGTGCAGACACAGTTCATTTTATTGTGAGCTTAAGTAGACGTGACCATAGACTGACAAATAATATGGATCTGGATTTTTCTTTTTATCAAACAAGCTTTGTCCAAACCTTTGTTGTTTATGACTGGGACTTGCTCCCTTTAACTGTTTGTTGACAGAGAATGATACTGATGAGAAAGCACCAACTCTTATGGTCCAGCGCTTCTGGCCGAAGTATTTACATTTAAAAACCCAATTATAAAAAGTTTGAAAGCAGTAGCGCACTCATTCTGCACAGTCTCTTGAAAGATTGTTCCTTTTTTTTTTTCTTGCCACAGTACGCAAGCCAAGCTGCTGTGGCTGCATTTTAAGTTCCAGCCTGCACAGCCCCACAGCTACTCTGGCACTTATTTGTTGCTAATACGATACTTGTTTACTTGCCCTCAGTGATTCATCCTTTTCCCTTCCAGTGTTTGGTGATCGCATTAAAATAAATTTTAATGATGGAATACTAAAGCTGTAGCGAGGGCAAATCCTAAACCTTCCTCCCCCTACCCTCGTCCCTGCAAACTCTTCGGTCCTCCGCCTTAGTCCAATCCCCCTGGATCAGATGAGAAGCTACATCTCGCCTCTGAAATGCATAGCAGGATTTGTCTCAAATCTCTCTTTTCTGGGACGACTGCCACTAAGTCTTTTTGTAGTTGTTTGTTGTTTGTTTTTGTCTCTTTTCTTCAGATTCAAAGCGCAGCATCCTCTTGTGGTTGTTAAATAAGCCTAACAAGTTTCCAGAAGATACTGGAACTTTTGTATGAAAATCCAGCCGTTTCTGCAGATTTCTTATTTCACACTTTCACAATGTTTATCTCTTTAAGCTGCTTCTGTTGTACACGTAGTAGCATTTGTTTCATCTACAGTATTTATTTATCATGAAAGAGGTTGGCGTGAGCAGGCCTTTAAGCAGGGGCCTTCTTTCTCGTCCCTGTCGACAGCTCGAGTCCAGCCATGCACAGCGACCCCGGCCCTTGCTGTCAGTGTAGAGTAGATCCCACTCTGTCTTGCTGATGGAACAAAGCACTACTGGAGGGGATTACTCCTGCCTCTGGTCCACTTCAGCTCCCTAACTGCAGCACACTGCTGCTTCAGAGAGTCACACTCACCCACATAATAAAATCTCAGAGAGCACAGATTCGCACTCACACACACTCTACTACCCATGTCACTGGAATTGCCAGAGCAATTATCTTGGACTGGATCAATTATGGGCATGGAATAAAAAGCAAGGGTGTGTCAGCGTGTTTGGAATGACCTGTGGACAAATTATGTCCAATGAGTTATGTAAATCAACCCAGAGTAATACAAGCCGACAGTGAGTAATGCTCACAGCCCCCTCACAGTGAGATTGTATGAATATATTCATAGGACAACAAAAAGAAAAGGAGAGTTGGGGGCAGGCATTTTACATAGTCATGAAGCTAGTTCATTTGTACTGATGACATGTCAGACCCAATTTAAACATTCTCCATTCAGGTGTTTTCCATAGAGATGCTCCAGACACTAAAGTACCAGCCTGGCCTTTATTTTTAAAGGGGCTGCAGGTTGAAGGCCAGTTGGAATCAGGCCAAGAAGGTAATCCATTTGGGCTCCATCATGACAATATTTGTCTTGTTTTTTTGTACTTCTCCTCCATTAGTGTGGTATGAATGTATTTCGTTAGGAGTGGAAGACAGCATGATTGATTTCACCTCCTGTCCACAGCCTGTCAGCACAACAAAATGCTTGACATTTTGAAAAGCCTCAATAAGAGACAAGAGGTCTGAGCAATATGCACATCTTCCATATATATGTTCAATATTAATATATCAAATATATCAAGATATGAGGCTAAACTCTATAAATACCACAAACAAAACCATTTTTAATTAAAGTATTCTCAGAATAATTAGCTTGATTAACAGAATTTGTATAATGAGACCATACGATATGATCTATGATGTCATATCATCTCAACCGAATTCATTAAAATCTGTAACCATGACGATATTGAATTATTATCCAGTCTGGCGACAAACATACTGTAGATTTTAATGTCTTCGGAAATCATTAATATTTAATCCTGCTTAATTATTTATGGATCTAAAGAAATGTGATAAAATATCTCAATTATAATATATTACAGTTGTAATGCATAAAACATAGCCCATGTTAATATTCAAACTAAATGTAGACAGGCTGTGAAAATAGGTTGAATTTCCCAAAGCATATACGGACATGCACAACCAAACAATTAAATTGACTCTCCTCCCTTCTTCAAATGTATTCAGCTACAAACACACACTAACCAGCTATTAACTCCTATTGGGATCATTAATTGACATCCATATGCCTGTGTGGAAGATTGCACAGTGACAGCCTTTATTAGAAAATGACTGACATTTTACACAGCCTTGTGTGTCCTTGAGCCCAAACCAATCCATCAGCACCTGAATACTAATACTAAATGCTGAGAGGATGAAGGAAGAGGTGTGATGGCTAATTTGAATGATGGCATTAAAAAAGAAGAAGAAAAGTGTTAATATGCTTCTCTCGCCCTGTGAAATAGCTTCGTCCTTGGTGGCAAATAGCTATTTGTTTCTCTGAGCGTGAAAGTGCTTCCTCAGCAGAAAAGCCCTGAATAGGGAAAAACGTAAATGTAGCTGCACCCATCGCTGCCGGAGACACACATCTCAAGTTTCATTTCGCTATATTTCTTGCAGCATTAGTCAAGGTCAGACAGGTAGCCCCTGCATTAAACAGCTGGTGGAGGCACCTGCAATTATTAAGATGTGGAGTAGGTCACTTTAAGTAGGTTACATACATAATCAAATAAAATGTTTAGGATTTTACATCCTGTGAATATAGTTTCCGTATGCAAGCGCGTGGTCTCGAATGAGGGCATCAAGCATTTGTTAAGACTAACTTTTGCCTTTTTCCCCATTAATCATGCTTCATGAAAGATTCACATTTCAGAAACAGTTTAGAACACCGATCATTTTCTTCTACATTTGTTAACTCACTATCATTTTTCATCACATCCACGGAGCATCTTTCAACTCGTTTCTCAAAAGCGGGATGTTTCATTTTGAGAGCATCATTTCTTCATTTCATGGTCAGATTTTGCAACGATGTCTCTCAAAACTCTGCCCACTCGTCTCAAATAGACGCTGCTCGCATGCAGATGTGCTCAGCTCAGAACAGTTTGTGTGCACTCACAGATAATGTTACTGCACAAAAGCCCTGCGCGTCATGGTTTGATACCTTCTCCTTGTGCTCAGTCTGTTGCTGTGTGATCACAAAACTTCTGCTCTCAGATTTTTGCTCTCACTCTAACTGTTTCTGTGCTGTTTTGTCTGCACAAAAACATTTTTAATGCAGTCTCATTGAACTAGGCACTGACTATTTTGTGTGCTTAGCTGACATCAAAAAGACATCTCAATCCAATTGGAATTCCGCCTGCAACACCAATAAAAAAGAAAATGGCGATGAGCTTAAATGCTATCTTCGGGTGCCGTGTCCTTGTCCAGACGCCGCCAGACAAGTGGCTTCTAAGGCCTGCAACGCTGTTTAAGTACATGAATGCAAATGAAAGCGCCTGCCCTTGGTGCCCTATGCTCTGCAAATCCACAGCAAGGCTGTATGCAGTTTGCATACAGCAAGGCTGTATGGAGGTAACAAAGTTGAGTCGTCGAGGAGGTGATACAGGAAAAATCAGAATGAGGGAAAAGGCAGGTCACACCTGCTCTGCATTGACATCGCTTCTCAGTATTGTGTGGATTTGGCTTCTTCAAGAATCTGCAATCAGCTTAATGGGCAGAAAACATGTTTGAATAGAAATACAAAACCAAACACTTGTGTCTCTGAGATGCAAAACGTGTTTTCTCTCTGCTATCACATCTTCACGTCTTGTAGCTTTTTATTTCAAAATGAAGAGATTGTTTCAGTCTACACCGAGTAATACATAACAGAGAGGACATATTTTTTAGAAAGGAAAAGTTTAAAAACCTGAAATGTAAAAACATGTGCAAACTTGATTTCACCCACAAAAAAACATGCAAGCTGATCTATTAAGGGTGCTGTCCATTCAGTACGTTTGCCTTAATGAATATGTATGAGGAGTAGATGCAAATACTTAGCACATACATTGTGATTTACAAAGCCTGAAAATAATTGTGGTGATTGTGACTGCGTCTATAGTTAATACGATTGAAAGGTAGGAGCTAATTGGCACAGCATTGCACAGATGGCGGCAGTTATTGTGGTGTGGAGGAGATGGCATGGAAGAAGACATAGAGAACAATTTATTTCTGCTCATCGCATAAAGTGAACTGCACCTGCTGCTCAATATTGGTCCGAGGCATCTCTTCCACCGGTCCCCCACCTGTTTTATTTGCTGAGGTTTTATTATGAGCTATTTGTTCTTTTGTTCTTCTTCTTATGTCCTGCCATCTTCTCTTTATTTCATTGGTCGTTCTTTTGTTTTACCCACAGCATTTATTTCTCTCCCATATTGTGTTTTTTGGGTTATATTAATATTTCTTTGCTGTAGCTTAAGAACATGTTTGTTTGCCTCTTTGACTAACTTAAAAACTTAAATTTTGCTTTGCGCTTGCAGTCACTCTGCTCTCTGTAATGCTCCATGGCGGAAACCAGTAACTCACGCAAAACACTCAATTAAATACTCTTGCTCTACCATCTTTGTAGTTGTTATCATTTACACAATTATTTTTAGTAAATCACCTGCAAAATGCCCACCAACCAAATGTGCAATCTGTTATTATGCACATGCAATTGAGCACTCTTTATTTGGGATCTTAGTATATCAGGCCCTAAGACTCAAATACCTAATAATACAGAAAAAATACCTAAAGAAGGAAATATTGTTTTATGTAAAAAAATCTCCATA